CATGATTTTCGTCTTGTCCATGTTCATTTTAAGGCCGATCTGTTGAGAAACTCCGTCAAGGTCAGCGAGCATTTGTCCCAGGTCTTCCAGCGATTCTGCCATGACTACGATGTCGTCGGCAAATCGAAGGCGAGTGATGTATTTGATGTTGATGCCAAGTTCATTCTATTCCAGGAGCTTGAAGGAATCTTCCAGAGCAGCGGTAAACAGTTTCGGAAAAATAACGTCTCCCTGTCTTACCCCTCTCTGTAATGGAATTGCCTTCGTGTATTGGTCCTGTACTCGAACTGACATATTGGCGTTATTATACAAACACTTCAATACCTCGATGTACCGATAGTCAATACGGCTCCGCTGGAGAGACCTAAAGACTGCCCAAGTTTCGATCGAATCGAAGGCTTTCTCATAGTCCACAAACGCCAAGCATAGTGGCCGATTATACTCCTCGATCTTCTGTATAATCTGCCGCAGCGTATGTATGTGGTCTATGGTACTAAAGCCTTTTCGGAAACCGGCTTTTTCGGGAGGCTGGAAGTCATCAAACCGACGTTGGAGACGATTCGTGATGACTCTTGAAAACAGCTTGTAGACATGGCTCAGCAGTGTGATGGGCCTGTAGTTCTTCAATAAGGTATTATCGCCCTTCTTGAAGAAAAGTACCACCACACCCCTGTTCCATGACTTTGGCGTGTGTCCCTCGAGCAAGACGGAATTGAAGAGCTTCTGGAGGAGCTCGAGTACCGGTTTGCCACCTGCTCTCAGAAGCTCAGATGTGATTCCGTCATCGCCCGGTGCCTTGTTATTCTTAAGCTGTTTCAGAGCCATCCCAATCTCGTACTAGCTGATGTCCGGTATATCTTCGGTATAATGTCGGGTTAGCCTTGCTCTAGGGTCTTTAGCTGGGGGGTGCTATGCTAGAAAACCTCCCCGTGGTGCACCCTGGAAACGCTGGCGATGGCACTGTTTCCTCCTTGTTCTCTTGGAGGAGAGGATTATCGCCAGCGGCTAATATTCTAGCAGAAGAGGAAGCCGTTTATCGGCTCTCGGGCAAGGCCTGGTCCAGCAGGATGGGCGTGTCTGCCGGTTGCCCTGCTGGCTCTTCGCTCTTCGGTGCATGGAGGAGAAAACCTCGGTAAAAAACCAGAAGGTGGGGCCCTATAGGGGCCAGTTTCTCCGCTTTTAGCGGTGGAGAAAGGAGGACGGGCTCGGCGTGTACTGACACTACCACCGAGCAGACAGGGGGACGTAGTCTCCTTGTCACCGTCGGCATATCGTAATCCCGAGAAGAGCGCTGTGGTCAAGTCTCGCGGCTCTGATCGGGGGCGAGGGTCTCGGCTTAACCGCCCGGACCGCGAGGAAGAAAACCTCTCTAAAAAAATTCTGGTGCGTGGCCAGGGGATGCATGGCTGATGGGTAGTTCAGTCGTAAGCGCACTCCCAGCCGGGGCACTTGCGGACCCCTCGGTTGGGCATAAATTTACGCTTGCCCGGGTATTGGGGGATCTCTGCCCGGGTGGACCTTTAGTTCTCCCCCACTCGTGGGTTCAATTATGGAAGATAAAATTAAAATTAATGGAAACAAAGGATCGAAAATAACAACGACAAAGGCGAGCAAAATGGCACAGGAAACGGTGGGATGCAAGGAGAAGGACGAGTCGAAGAGGAGGAATGGTGGAGTGGATCTGGCGTCCACTGAGGGTGAGGTGGTGTCGAGAACACCTATCTCGGTGGGGCTCCCAGTAGTAGTCTGTAGTAGACTGACTGCTGGGAGCCGAAGATCGGAGCGTTTGCGCTCCAAATCTGCCACGGCTGGCGAGAGTGGCGGCTCCAGCGCGAGCATGGAGGTGGAAGCGGAACCGAGCGAGAGCCGGAAACGCGAACTCTTGCGGGATGGGGAAGATAACCCATCCGTGGAGTCGGGGCCTCCTAAGGGCGGCCGCATAGGGAGGTCGCGTACCCCTGTCCCCGTCCCTTTAGGGTCCGCCTTCTCCAAGGCGGATTCTTATAGACGGGTACGAGCGGACGGCGAGGCCGTAGCGAAGGAGGAGATCGCGGGTCTCCTGCTCAAGATTCGGGAGCCGGTGGAGGGAGATGCCCCTCGGGCGCCCGTGTCTGTGCAGGAGAGGGAGAGAGCGGCGGTGGCTATTATTCAGAAGGTAGCCACCAAGTCGGTTAACCTTAAGGGCTCTTTTGTGAGGGCCCTTAAGGACTCCTCCTCCGCTATGTCGGAGGTCGTGGAGGGCCGTTTCTCGCCTACAGATGGCCAATGACAGGCTGACGGAGCAGGTGAACGAGCTGAGCGCTCAGCTCGCCCGCTTCCGGGCGAACCTCCCCGAGCGGGGGGCCCCGTCCACGCCCCTGCCTGTCCCTACCGCGACCTCAGGGGTACCTGACGCCCAACTGCGGTCAATTCTTAACGCAGTTGGGCGTATGCTGGACGGCCGTCTGGCCGGTCTGGAGGCGAGACTGCCCCCTGCGCCGGTCGTGCGCCCCCCGCTCGCGTCGTCGCAGCGGCCTAAGGCTGCTGCTCCGACTGCGCTCCCTGTTGTGGGAGGCCGCGTCTCATACGCGGCGGTGGCGTCGGCGTCGGCCCCGACTCCACCACCGACTCCCCAGGGGTCGGAGAGGGGCCAAGGCACCGGCCCAGGCGCCAGTCAAGGCGCCGGCCAAGACTAAAGCGGCGAAGAGGAGCGGAGTGGCTTTCCCTCCGCTCCCCACTCCGACATCTCTGCCGGGCCCCTCCGCACCTGCCCCCTCCAACGAGGGTTAGCAGAAGGCGAGGGGCTGCGAGGAAGTAATCTCGCAGAAGGAGGCGGCGGAGAAGGCCCGGGAGGACGACCTCCACTCGGACCCGATCCGCCGCCGGCGAACCGGGCGGCGGAGGCGCGCTCATCTGCGCCTCATGCCGCCCTGAGTGTGGCCGCGGGTGGACGGAATGGGTTCTCCCCTCCACCCGCATTAGTTTGGCCAGCCGCGAGGGGGCGGCGTCCGCGTGTGCCGGACGTCGCCTAAAGAGAGGAAACATTTTGAGACGGAGCCCGCAACAGGAGCGGGCCGGCGCTGGGAGGGGTCCAGAAGGCGATAACTACCTGGACCCCTCCTAAACTGGAAACGCAAAGAGGGCACACCGTGTGGTTTTAGTCGGTTCGAGTTCGACACACCGCCCCGCCGAACGAGAGCCCCGGCGGGGTGACGGTCGGAGGGGATTTCCACACGTAAAAACAAAAAAAAAAAAAAAAAAAAGGGTCTTTAGCTGGGCTACTAGCAGGCTTTGCGGTTGAGGTATACAAGTGCCGATAGAACCTCTCTATCTCCGTAAGTACCTCTTGCCTACTCGACGTTACACTCCCCTCTTCTGTCTTCAGCTTCGTCAACTGGCTTTTGCCAATAGACGCCTGTCTTGCGAACACTTTAGAGCCTTTGTTTCGCTCTATCATCTTCTTAAGAAGAGAGAGAGAGAAGAGAGAGAATTCCATATCTGTCTATTGAGCTGCCGATAGGACTTAGCGTCATCGGAGGTTTGGGGAGTCATAGAACGTCGCCCGGCCATGAGGTCCCGGGTATGGTCGGATACTTTCTGAGGTCTATCTTTTCGGTGGAGTCAGAAGAACTTAGACCCAACCTCATGGATACTTTCTACCAGCCTGTTATTGATTTCGTCCACTGATGTGCAGCTATCTAGGCATTGGAAGCGATTTTGCAATTCGAGTTGAAAGCTTTCGGGGTTTTGGATCTGAGCAATCGAAGGTCGGAGCGTGGACTTCATTAGACGGGCGCGTTCAAACTGAACGTCTATATTCAGTGTGCCTTTAACCATTCGGTGATCACTTCCGGTTTTCACCCTGTCAATCACGGATACATCATTGAACATACGCCTTTTGTTGGTCAAAATGAAGTCAATCTCATTTTTTGTGGAACCATCGGGACTCATCCAGGTCCATTTCCTGTGAGGCGGCTTCTGGAAATAAGAGTTCATCATAAAGAGTCCCTCTTTTTCCAAGAAATCGGCCAGCCTGTGTCCCCTGAGGTTCCGTTGCCCATAACCAAATTGCCCTACTCTCAACTCATCATCGCTTCTTCGGCCCAGCTTTGCATTGAAGTCTCCCATAACAACGGTGTAGTGTGTAATAGTGCTATGTATGGTCCGACTGATGTCCTCATACATAGGTTCCACTTCATCATCTGGGTGTGTCGAGGTCGGTGCGTAAACCTGTATGACTTTCAACGAATATTTCTCAGATATTCTGAGTATAAGGTACGCTACCCTGGTCGACACACTATTGATGGACATCACGTTGCTAATAAGAGACTTGTGGACGATAAACCCGACACCACCTTGGGACTGTTGTTCGCATTCCCGGTAGTAGAGTGTGGTAGCCGGATCCCATCCGGGGATTCTTCGCACCCCCTGCCCCGCCGCTGCCATGACCGCTACCATAGCCAGGATTGGCGGGGCTGCCGGGTACTGGGGGCCTGGTCCTGTTCTGTCTAATTTTCATTGTGGAGGTTTTGCCGTACTCGCCGCGCTTGACAGACGGGTTGGCGAGCGCAGTGTGTGCCATTTGGTAAACTGAAACGCTGCTGCCCGTTCCCTGCCTTTATCCCTTAGTCGCCTCTTACGACACCCACGGGAAGAAATGGGGTGGTGCTATTCTATACTGGCACCACACGGCATTTGTATAATACAAATGCCGTGTGGTTCGGATATGACTGGCGAACCCGAATTTGGTCTTAAAGGTCAAGCCCGTGCACCTATAACTCAGCAGGTCAACTGCACTGTGCACCATCACTACCAGGATCAATCATAAAAAATGATGACTATTTAGATTTTTTTGTTCATTGATATTATTTGCTAGCGATAATTAATTCATTTCAAGTAAACTTCTTTACATTCTTTGGTGTTCAACGTTCTACCGATATAATAATGACATTTATTCTAACCCATGATACTTTTTTTATTACTTGAAATATACACTACACTTACCTTTAAATCATTTACAGCATTAGAAGGGACAACGTTAAAAGATTTGTAAAAATGCTTAATAGTTCAATAGTTGAGCTTATAAGTCTAAAAGAAAACCACTTTGTGCTTCTCAACTCTATGGCAATGGAAGGGGATCGGTGCAATATGTGTGTTCAAGCCAGAAATGATATAAACAAAATAGCAGGTAATACCAACAAAAACTGAATGAGAATTAAAAAATGTATATCTTTAATCAATGTATTATTTGTCTTTATTAGAAATATTAACATGTGCTGAAAACCCAATGATCTGTGACAAGAGCACTAGGAAAATTAACTACAGTAGACCAATACTTATGCAGGTAAGGAATAAGGTTTATTTTTCTTTCAAATGGTATCCATACTAATACCCGGATGTGTCACGACGGCTTGCGCCTTGGCCGAAACACCCCCGTGGGATTTGGAGGCGGAAGTGCTCGCCGTAGTTTATCGGCGAGTGGCTGACTTCCGGGCGGAGAGCGGATTTCGCCCTCCGTCCGAAGACGTGCGCGAGTGGCGCGAAGCCGCTCGCCGAGCCACCATGGTCAGATGGTCGTTCCGGTTGGAGATTCGCGCGCTGGCTTCGCCGCCGTGGAGGCTCTCCAGCCGGTCATCGCCGAGTGGGCAGGGCGGCAGCACTCGACCCTTTCCTTCCGGCTGACGCAGGTGCTTTCCGGGCACGGTTGCTTCGGAAAGTACCTGTACTCGGTCGCTAGGAGGGAATCGAGTCCCGCTTGCCACCACTGCGACTGCAGTGAGGATTCGGCCCAGCATACGCTGGCGGTCTGCCCCGCATGGGCGACGCAGCGCCGGGCCCTCACTGCAGTCATCGGAGCGGATCTCTCGCTACCGGCCGTAGTTCGCTCCATGGCCGGTAGCGACAGTTGTTTTACCGCGGTCGCAACCTTCTGCGAGGAAGTAATCTCGCAGAAGGAGGCGGCGGAGAAGGCCCGGGAGGACGACCTCCACTCGGACCCGATCCGCCGCCGGCGAACCGGGCTGAGTGTGGCCGCGGGTGGACGGGATGGGTTCTCCCCTCCACCCGCATTAGTTTGGCCAGCCGCGAGGGGGCGGCGTCCGCGTGTGCCGGACGTCGCCTAAAGAGAGGAAACATTTTGAGACGGAGCCCGCAACAGGAGCGGGCCGGCGCTGGGAGGGGTCCATACGCGATAACTACCTGGACCCCTCCTAAACTGGAAACGCAAAGAGGGCACACCGTGTGGTTTTAGTCGGTTCGAGTTTCGCCGAACGAGAGCCCCGGCAGGGTGACGGTCGGAGGGGATTTCCACACGTAAAAAAAAAAAAAAAAACGGTCTTTAGCTGGGCTACTAGCAGGCTTTGCGGTTGAGGTATACAAGTGCCGATAGAACCTCTCTATCTCCGTAAGTACCTCTTGCCTACTCGACGTTACACTCCCCTCTTCTGTCTTCAGCTTCGTCAACTGGCGTTAGAGCCTTTGTTTCGCTCTATCATCTTCTTAATACTGTTAGTATTAAAGGAGCGGAGATCGTGTCGCAGAGAATTCCATATCTGTCTATTGAGCTGCCGATAGGACTTAGCGTCATCGGAGGTTTGGAGAGTCATAGAACGTCGCCCGGCCATGAGGTCCCGGGTATGGTCGAATAGTTTCTGAGGTCTATCTTTTCGGTGGAGTCAGAAGAACTTAGACCCAACCTCATGGATACTTTCTACCAGCCTGTTATTGATTTCGTCCACTGATGTGCAGCTATCTAGGCATTCGAAGCGATTTTGCAATTCGAGTTGAAAGCTTTCGGGGTTTTGGATCTGAGCAATCGAAGGTCGGAGCGTGGACTTCATTAGACGGGCGCGTTCAAACTGAACGTCTATATTCAGTGTGCCTTTAACCATTCGGTGATCACTTCCGGTTTTCACCCTGTGAATCACGGATACATCATTGAACATACGCCTTTTGTTGGTCAAAATGAAGTCAATCTCATTTTTTGTGGAACCATCGGGACTCATCCAGGTCCATTTCCTGTGAGGCGGCTTCTGGAAATAAGAGTTCATCATAAAGAGTCCCTCTTTTTCCAAGAAATCGGCCAGCCTGTGTCCCCTGAGGTTCCGTTGCCCATAACCAAATTGCCCTACTCTCAACTCATCATCGCTTCTTCGGCCCAGCTTTGCATTGAAGTCTCCCATAACAACGGTGTAGTGTGTAATAGTGCTATGTATGGTCCGACTGATGTCCTCATACATAGGTTCCACTTCATCATCTGGGTGTGTCGAGGTCGGTGCGTAAACCTGTATGACCTTCAACGAATATTTCTCAGATATTCTGAGTATAAGGTACGCTACCCTGGTCGACACACTATTGATGGACATCACGTTGCTAATAAGAGACTTGTGGACGATAAACCCGACACCACCTTGGGACTGTTGTTCGCATTCCCGGTAGTAGAGTGTGGTAGCCGGATCCCATCCGGGGATTCTTCGCACCCCCTGCCCCGCCGCTGCCATGACCGCTACCATAGCTAGGATTGGCGGGGCTGCCGGGTACTGGGGGCCTGGTCCTGTGCTGTCTAATTTTCATTGTGGAGGTTTTGCCGTACTCGCCGCGCTTGGCAGACGGGTTGGCGAGCGCAGTGTGTGCCATTTGGTAAACTGAAACGCTGCTGCCCGTTCCCTGGCTTTATCCCTTAGTCGCCTCTTACGACACCCACGGGAAGAAATGGGGTGGTGCTATTCTATACCGGCACCACACGGCATTTGTATAATACAAATGCCGTGTGGTTCGGATATGACTGGCGAACCCGAATTTGGTCTTAAAGGTCAAGCCCGTGCACCTATAACTCAGCAGGTCAACTGCACTGTGCACCATCACTACCAGGATCAATCATAAAAAATGATGACTATTTAGATTTTTTGTTCATTGATATTATTTGCTAGCGATAATTAATTCATTTCAAGTAAACTTCTTTACATTCTTTGGTGTTCAACGTTCTACCGATATAATAATGACATTTATTCTAACCCATGATACTTTTTTTATTACTTGAAATATACACTACACTTACCTTTAAATCATTTACAGCATTAGAAGGGACAACGTTAAAAGATTTGTAAAAATGCTTAATAGTTCAATAGTTGAGCTTATAAGTCTAAAAGATAACCACTTTGTGCTTCTCAACTCTATGGCAATGGAAGGGGACCGGTGCAATATGTGTGTTCAAGCCAGAAATGATATAAATAAAATAGCAGGTAATACCAACAAAAACTGAATGAGAATTAAAAAATGTATATCTTTAATCAATGTATTATTTGTCTTTATTAGAAATATTAACATGTGCTGAAAACCCAATGATCTGTGACAAGAGCACTAGGAAAATTAACTACAGTAGACCAATACTTATGCAGGTAAGGAATAAGGTTTATTTTTCTTTCAAATGGTATCCATACTAATATAAATGCGAAAGTGTGTCTGTCTGTTACATCTTCACGATTGATTCTTGGGGAAGGACTTAGGCTTTTACCGCGATGACCGACGTGAACGCGGGCGAAACAGCGGGAAAAAGCTAGTTATATACATATAATGTGCAATTGATTGTTGTTTACATTATATCCATTTAGTAATTAGGTATATACTTACGATAGTCTGCAGTCGAGTAGACAGAAGAAACATTCTCGAAATACTAAGTAAATATCTACTTTATAATTTGTTGAATTTGATATTGGATATGTAGTATGTTTTTTTGGTATTCTTTACAGCATTTTCCATTGTACAGATTGTCCGATGCAGTTTGCAGTGGACATGATGCACCTCCATTTCCGGAAAGGGACAAACTTTTTCGTCCAAAATGGGAATCATTATCATTGGAAGCCACAAACTTTCTTGCAAATAAAATTAAGCCGAGAGCAGTGTTTGGTGGTCATACACATCACGGATGTTTGCTACATCATACTTATACAGATCCAGAACTTTTCGAATTTTACGAATACTCAGTTCCTTCGTTTTCTTGGAGGAATAGGCATAATCCTAAATACATGCTGGTAAGTTTCTTTCCTGTTATATCTTATTAAATGTTAGATTAGTGGGCAGTGGCGTAGAACAGACATTTTAGTTTTTGAACGTTTGAAATGAGATATAATTATCTTTTAGTGATTCTCCCTCTCGAAGCACGCTGTCGACGTGTCTGTTGCTAGTTATAGTGAAAAATAATGTAAATAAAGTGCAATGGAAAACAACAAGAAAGAAGGAACGAAAAAAAAATTGCTCCAAATGTTACATCACTCATCTTAAATATAAGGTTCATCATAGCAGAAAGAAAGATCATTAACAGCCTTTAATAGTCCACAGCTGGACATAGGCCTCTCCTTAAAAAGTAGGTTTTGGTCTATTATACCGCGATGGCCAGAAGGGCTGGTATAGGGGTGGTGGCAAGTTTTCCTTTTCATTGCTCCCGTGTGGTGACGGATTACGAAATAAGAATACGAAATATCACCACCCCTATTCATCCCGTAGGTATCTTAACTAAAGTTTGTATTAGTCCATAATGTATTACTCGTTATAGCATTATTATGGTTTGTTTTATGTTGTAGTAGTACATTATGGACAGTAAATCTTTACAGAATCTTATTTCCCTGTAGAAACAAAAAAAATTGTGGTTCGATTTCGCAATGCCAGATACATGTAGGTAAGCCTTTTGTGTTGCACTTTGCCTAAATAACTTTTGTGATTTTTTAGGTAAGTATAACCCCAAAGAACTATTCAGTAAGCAAATGTTCGCTCCCACAAGAAACGACTATCGCAATATGTGCGGTTTTGATGCTGTTTGTGGTGATACTCCAGACAAAAGGAAGATGGCATAGTATATGAAGTGACAAGTAAAACAAAGTTATAAATTAATCTCATGGATTATTATTGACAATAAATATTTTTGACAAGATACAGCACTTTGTACACTGACAACTGAATACTTTTCAGTGGATATCATTACATACAATTATTTTATTTAACAACAATTTATCACAAAATACCTACTGTCTTACATTAATTTAACATTATAATTCAGGCGTCCATAATAAGTTATAAATACATTTTGATAGCAAATAAGAGGTAGATAAAAATAAGAGATTCCTGGATTAACTTAAAATAACGAATACTGATATTGGTAATGTGAGGTGAAAAATCCAAACAGTTAAAATTTTACAAATATCAGTGATAAGTGTAAAAAAGGGAAATGAGCAATTATAATTTAATTATATTGTACTTAAACAATTTTATATAACAATGTTATAAACTATTCGGAGTACCTAACACTTAAAATTAGAATCAGTCTATAAACCCGAAAAAGAGTTTTATAATAAAAGGTACATAGGCTACTGAGCATTATCACCTATCAGTATACATTACAACGTGAACTCTGCTACACCTACACTCCCATTCCAACATCAATGTTACCAAGTAAGGGCACTTTGGATGAACAGAACATTTAAGGCCCCACTAATTTCAGAATTAAAATTATGACTCTGAATGATCTGAATTATATTGATCCTGGTGAAGTATTTAGTTAGCGCCTTGCGTAATTAGAATACATGAAAGTGACCGAGTTATTTTACCTCTTGTCAGGTTTACAAATTCTATTCATAGTTCAACTTGTAAAGTTTGCTCTCAATACAGTTCTTGGTAACTCAACACTAGTATTGTCCACTATCACACACATTGACACTATATTAACACCCAAAAAGGACAACTAATGTTGCCCTTTCTTAAATTCTATAAGAATATAATTTGTAATACTCTTGGTTGTTGCGTCGTTTGCGCTTGGGTGGGTAGATCGTGAGATCTAGACCGCGCGTGATGAGCGTGAGGTGTTCGGTGCGGTCGCAGCATTTGATTCTGTTTTTGATGATATCCTGTGTGTGCGTGACGTGCCGAGGAACAAATGACCGCGTGAAGATAACGGTCGTACCTACACAAATGCGAGTCGCCACCGCCTGCAAGATCTAGGTATCCGTTGCCAGAAATCTCAGATTTCATTTTTTGGAATGTATTTACAGGCTTCTCACTTATCGTGTGAGATCTATTTCGATGCTTTTGATATTTATTAGGAATTTCTTCGTCATTAACAATTGGTTCACAGGGCTTTCTGAAAAGACAAAAAAGCAAAATATTAGAAAATATTTATGAATTAAAACGTTACACGCAAGTCAGAAAAAGTCTAGTGTCAGTAACAGATTGTGATTTCATTTGTGATCAAAAATCATTATCAGTGATCATCATCATTATTTTTAAGGACGTGTTTTCTTGTTCTCGCATTTCTTCTTCATATAATCACATAATTACTATACTACTATCTAAAAATGCTTTTAAACCAATGTTTTTAACCATGCATGTCTGACGCTTTAATGATATATATCGATTCAAACAAATGAGAACTAACTAATGAAATCTTTAATAGTTGGCATTTCCCATGTACCATATTATTGCGCTACTGTCTTAATGATCGTTACGGCTATAATAGAGCTTGTGTCAAGGGTACGTGTTTTCTATGCTATCTTATTGTTTGTTATTATTGAGCCAAATATGTACCATGTAAAACTAAAAAGTAGAGATGCCACGAATATTCGGCAACAATTCGGTATTCGGCTATTCGGTCACTTTCTTTCCTCTATTCGGTATTCGGCCGAATATTCCAAACTATTTTGCCGAACACCGAACAGTGAATCAAAAAAAATGCTTACAACAAAACAAAATTACTTACAAACAAGAGAACAAGAGAAAGAACTTAAAACAAACCCTATACCAACCCGTCTGGCCAGCGTGGTATAGTAGGCCAAAACCTTTCTAAGGAGAGGTCTATGTCCAGCAGTGGACTAGTAAAGGCTGTTGATGATTATTACTTACAAAGATTTTTGTTTTACCAATAACTTTTCATAATAATACCTAAAACATTTTTTTCATTTGTTGATAGGAATCGATCGCGCTCATAAATTATACCTGCTTAGGAAAATCATATTTCTACATCACCCGGAAGTCGACTGGGAGAGAATGCCTCATGGCATTAAGTCCGCCTTTGTACAACATTTGCATTACTTTAAATAAAAAACATAGCCGCTCACTGTATATACCGCTTTCAGAAGCTGAATAAATAATTCAGGAGATAAATAAATCTTAGCAAATTCTGTTACGTTAGGATATTGTTTTGCGTTTGCTGGCCATTTTACTGATTTAGGTTTACACCGAAATGTACTAAGTGTTGCCGAATATTCGGCGCTTAGACCAAGAGACTCGCCGAATATTCGTTATTGGGCCAAATCACTTTTCGTGGCATCTCTACTCAAAAGAATAGTATTAGTAAGTCGTAACTACAAATATAATCTTACCTCGCGGCTTGAAAGCTCAGGTGGTTCTTTTCCATGTTGGCTTGAATAATTTCCAATAGTTCACGTCTTTGCAAGCTTCCAGAACGCTTTTTTGTATGTTTGCGTTCGCGATGATCCCTGCGAGACTGGCGGTGGGGTCTGTTTTGTGCGTAAGTCGTTTGCCTTTTGGGTGGTCGTCTGTCACCTGAGCACGATGACTTGGAAGACACGTCATCGTCGTTAGATAATCTATCACGATGTTCATCATCACTGTGATCTATACACTCTGGTGGCGCAGCGGTGACATTTGATGAGCATTCTTTGCGTCGTCGCCGTCGACCTTCTCGCCTTTCTCTATGACTCCTAGATTTGCCATCTTCAGGCACTACTGTTAAGCGGACTTGTATGGTTTTAGATCCATAATGAGGCACTGTCACTGATTTTCCAATTGATTCATATATTGTTGAAACGATTCCGGCGATATCCTGAAATGTACAACAACAAAAAGTTAGATTTAGCTCTTGAAGACATCAAGCTGAAAGGTTTAATAAAAATAATTTTAAAATACATACATCCTTCGTCATACGACCATGTCCGTCTAGGTCGTAAAGAGTAAATGAGAATTGCAGCGGTTGTTGTTTAGACGGTTCCGGATGTTGCAGTTCTACGTCACAGGTCAGTTCCTACAACAAGAAGAAACCTTTGATAAATCATACCATAATTTCTATTAAATATTAGTTTAATGTTTCGTTTTCATATTGGATAATTAATGAAAGGTTATATTCTGGTAGATAACCTAGTAGTGTCGAACATAGCGTTGTAGCAGACGACGTCGAGGCGTTCTCCTTATCTGTCACTATAAAAGGAAACTGGCTATGCCTTAGCCTTTACGACCGGAAAAATAAAAGGTAAAGTTGATCCGTTCAATAGTTTCTGCCGAGTTTTAATCTATGACAAATACCTACATAGTTTACATGGCTTAATCAATATTTTAGGTAACAACTTGCGGTATATTAGACACAGCGAACTTGCATGTCTGTAATATGGTGAATGGATATAATATAAGTAATGTTGCCGATCTGTGACGAGTACTAGAAACTTCAAATTTACAAAAGTAGCTAACCTCTGCAGCGGTATTTTAAATTCTCTAAGAATTCATGATAATATGTAGATTGTGAAGACATGAATTTGATTAAAATCTGAAGTCACGACTTGCTCGGTTACTAATAGCCACTTTCTAATTCCCATTCCCACATGGGTGACTACTTGCGACTAGACATTTGCTACATACTTTATTATTCCTTTTAAATGGAATTAAAGTGAATGTTTAAATAATGAATATTGTGTTACGGGTGTGTTTTTTACAGGTTTATACGAAAAATAGTAAAGAACAAGTAGAATCTAAGGGCTATTTCAATCAGTTATTTTTTTAAATAATTCATTAACTTTTTTCCTCTTCTATAAACCGATTGTGCATGCATGCATTAACTATCTATCGTACGTGTCATCAATTTATTTATATTTTACCTCAAAGCGTAATCTGGGCTTGTCTTCATTGTGTTCTACTACTGGTGAGGGTGATTGCGGAGGCTTGTATGCTGGTTCGTGCGAGACGTGGTGCGATGCCGCTGGAGGTGTATTTGGCCGAAGCAGTGCACGAGCTTCGCTGGGCAACAAGTCCGGTGGGGCCGAGCACTGAGATACTGCACGCCCCATAAGCTCTTCCGTGTCTGTCCGCTCACCCTCCGTTCCAACTGCAAAAGTAATGAAACGTATTTATTAAAGATATAATATAACTATAATGATGGTAATACAAAATAGTGATGTCATAACATGACAGGAAGTAGGTATCATGTTGGATCTGATATACGCCTTGTCGATATGTAGGTACACACGGCAATCGAAATATCTGTTAAGATTTACAAGTGAAAATAGGCTAGTTGACTCAATTTGAAAACTTGGTTAAAAAAAACCTATATTTTAAAGAAAAATTACGTATTTTGTATTAAAAAAAAAACAATTTAAATTTCCCTTGAAAAAGCTGAATAGTGTCATGGCGTCTTGAATGACGAAACAAAACTGTTTACATCTGTGTCCAGTGTCAACTGAAACTGTATTAAGGTGAGAAAATATGCTAAAAACGAAAAACAATAAGGAGTAACCTGCTCTGTTGTATGAAAACGTCAACAACAACGATGATGTTTTGCGTGGCGTGACGTAACACTTTCTTATTGGTGTTCGCTGTCAGTGACTTAATGCCTATTTTGTTCGATTTTTTCTAAAACTATTAATAATCTTTCACTTTTATGAGAAATAGACTGTTTTTTTCTTATCTATGTCTCTTCATTTATAATTCGAAACTATAAACCAAGCAATTCCTTATTAGTGGACACAAGCCTTTTGTAAATAACGCGATTCTTCACTCATATATGCCAATTATTAATGTTTCAGAACCATTCTGCGTAAGTAGTTTCAATTTCTCTAGTAAGAGTCATAAAATCACAGGTACTTACTACTTCGAATCAGGCATTTCGTTTCTCGTGTGTACATTTCACAGAATATAGAATTCATACAAATACTTTCGGACATAGGTTCTAAAAATGAAGACATTTGTATAACTATATGAAACACTAACGACTTTCTATCAGACGGGCCGTGAGTTTAGAGAAGCAGTTCCGAAATTATTTACCGCATTAATGTTAAAAAAAATGAAGTGTATTTCGACTGCATATTTTACGTAGGATATACCTACCTACTTTATAAAACAAAAAAATTGACTAATTGATATTTTGTTACATTTCTGCGAGAAATGCAAAACTTGCAATTTTTTAAATTGAAATTGCTCTATTTTCAATTAAGTAAATGCAACTACAAAGTTAATAGAATAGGCGCCAAAACGCTAAATTTAGGTCTGTTGAAGTCAAATGTTCGTAAACACACATTTGCTGTCAAATCGTTATTACCATTATTACCAATAACTCGTTATCTTTGTTGTTTCAAAATTTCTTTAATTTTTCTTATCTATTTATTATGTAAATTAATAAAGGTAAAGTTTAGTTTCCAATATGTAGTATAAAAATAACGTCTATGTCCAGCAGTGGACTATTAAAGGCTGTTGATGATGATGTGTAAAAATATTTGAACCATAATCGTATTCATTTTTGTGAAAGGTTTCTGCTATCAGCTTTAAAAAATCTCTATGGTAATTTTAGTTTTTTTTGTGCGGTTTCATGTTGCCAGTTTTATTACAGATAAAATTATCAATTATTTTTTTTTCGTTTTATTTTTAATGTAGCACATTATCTAGTGCCTACTGCCTAGCTAGACTTGAGAGCTTTTAACGACGGTAGGTACGCGACAGCAGACAGATGCCAGATCTTGTGATTGTTGATTTTTAGATTGGTGTATTGTGTTTTAAATGTATTCTTTTGTATATTTTTTTGAAAATTACTACGTATTTCATATAAGGTTACCAATATTGTAGCTGGAATAAAGAGTTTTTATTGGAAGTCGCAGGCAAAAGTAGTAAATAATATTTTAGGATATATTAGAACCAAACTAAGCGTGGCATGAGACTATGGTTTCTAGAACACAGATGCACATTTAGTTTTTTACTTTTGTTTCTACATTTATAATATGACCTGTTTCCATTCATTTTGAAGTAATTTTACAAAAGTAATTACCGATAAATTAAAGTAGAAAGTGTAATAAAATAAGTACATACTAATAATTTCTGTGTAATTTTTACTACTATTGTATGGGGTAATCAATTTAAAAAATTAAAAATACTTAATAAAAAAAAGGAGAGAGAATCAAGAAACGTGGCTTTTTTGGCGTCCCGAATGCATCTCACAAAAACAGTAGTAAACAGTAAATTTTTTTTACAAACTTTTTATCTTTTTCTCTTGCGCTTGTAACTATATAACAATCTGAACAATAAATAGTGTTAAATCCTTGTACCTGTTTTTTTTTAAGTTATAATATTACTGAATTAGTACAGCACACAAAATAATACCCGGTAATTTGTTACCCGTTTATCTTTACTAATTTGAAAATTACGAAAGTGAGTTACTTATTTGGTGATGCCATATTTTATGCCCTGAAACACCAAACCGATCATCATGAAATTTTGCTTATACGTAGTCAGTAGTGCTATTCTCTAAGGAAACAGCCTTGCGTGTAGCGCTGCCACGACGTCGAACTTCCAACTAAGTTCGTCGCTACAGTGCTGTCACAGCGTTGAATTTCAAAATAAGTTAGTTTGAAGTTCGACGCTGTGGCCGCTCTCTACGCAAGGCTGTTTCCTTAGAGAAAAGCACTGCTGGTGTACAGAAAAGGATGTAGAAATGAAGCCATAAATGTGAATTTATTGATAAAATCTACATTCACGCAAACAAATTTTAATATGCTAACTAAAGGGTCCGTAATTGATGAATTTCAAAAATTTACTCCTTAACCGAATCCAGTCGTTAATTACTTGAAAACGTGGTGGTTTAAAAATGTGCTATAATAATATGCCTTTCACGCTGTATCAACCATTGTAATCGATAAACAATACAAATAACACAATAGAACAAGAAATAAAAACTGTATATTCAACAGTTTTGTCGGCGAAAATCAAAAACTGTGTGATGCGGACCGACCGAGAGATGTAAACGACACAAGGCTACGGGGAGCGTCGAGATTTCCTGGAAGGCTCTGTGAGTGGGTCGGCTTTTGGAACGTTTGGGATCCACCGTGGCATCGCACATCTGCCGCTAATGTTATTTCTCTCAAAGGGAGCGTCTTTTTTACATGCCTCACATTCTCAGATTTGCACTTCAATATTATCAATTAAAATATTAAAAAAAAATATAAGGTAAAAAATTAAAAGAATTAACATTCTAATTATTTTCATTTCTATAATAATATAATTTTCAAAGTCTACTGCGAATGTAGCGATTGTCCTAACTTTACTTGGAATTCCAAATTAAACTTAATTTTATAATAACAGTTTTATTACGTGGGTGGAAAGAATTAAGATTTACTGTAAAAGATCTATTACAAGTATTTTGGCAGTCTATTACATCGAGTTTATGTAGTAAATGGAATACGAATCCACGTAAACTCTTAAACTTTACTCTCTCGCCCTACATACTCTTGTCCCTTTTTAATTGCTAGAAGTAATGATAACTCTCAATCCGGGACACAATCCCTTGATAATGAATTTACTCTAACAACCGAGTTGATTAAGCTCTGGCAGGTATTTTTGTTGGCATTTTTACATTCTTAGATAATGGAACACGCCATCTATCGTAATTAAAATTCTATCTTAATCAAACGGCAGCGAAGTTTTCTGCGAAACAAATTTTACATCCTTTCTACAGTGTAGTCATAACTCGATTTATTAAAATGTTAGACATTTTTCAATGAAAATAGATGCTTCTTTCTTAAACTTACACTGTTTTGTAATTAAGAACAGTAAGATCAAAGACTTTAAAATATCTAAATGTTTGCTTTGAAGTAGTTGTTTCAATTTAGTATGTGATTACGATCGTATATCTTTGAAATGAAAACTGAAAATGTATGTATAAAAATGAAACATTTTTTATTTATAATCACACAGTAATTACGTACTTGGCTATTTATCTTCCAAAATATATTTTTACGTCAACATCTATGGTATCTTTAGTGTTCAGTTACGCTTGAAGGTCACGTTTTTGCTTAATTAGTTATACCTGTCACACAGCGTGAACACTCAGAATAGGTACTGTTGTTCTTGGAAATACGTACATACATATACTTATATGTATACGTTTGGCAATAATCAAAATCTATGTTAAGAAGTTAATATCCTACGGCCGCGGTGGTGGTGACAGAATTAATACGTGCTAGTGTTCATAGCGCACAGACGCGACTTTTTCTCATCCAAGGTCACTAGCCTCCAATAGCGCCATAAAACATACATAACAAGTATGTTTGTGATTCTTCATTCTTTAGTTCTGCCTGGTCATTGTTAACAACGCAAGTTTTTTAAATTAACTTTTCTCTGAAATTGTAAAGATTTAAGTCCTTGTCTTACGAGCTTGATTTAAATAGTAATATATGGTATTTGAGGAGAATTACCAACGATAAATTATATTTCTGCACCCGAACAATGACGTGAATGAATTAAAGATGAAAAAGGACGAATAGGCACACAGACAAGTTTGTTAGTGTGCTTTCTATGTCTAACTAAACAAAACCATACATTATTGGCATATAGTTTTAAATATAGGTATTTATACCTTTAACAACCTTTTTTATATTCAATCTATTATAAAAACTGCAATGTGTAAGTAGGTAAATGTATGTACGCGTACATACCTATTACCTACATCTTCCTACTTACACTACCTTTGTACATCATTTAGCTACTGACAATATTACGAAACCAAAACGTGAAACCGGCACATGCCATTTCGTTAAATAAATATTGGTATTATTAATGGAACCACGTATGTATTCTATGTTATCACTAAGTAAGCACTAGGTAGGTAGGTACATACCAATTTCCTTGTTAGGTATTATTAATACATTATTCTTAGTGCGGGAGGTGTATAAAAAGTCAATTTCTTGTACACCTAGCTCTTTACAATCCCGCCCACCCGAAGTCTAGTTAAATAAAAAATCTTCACACATGTTTATGTATAAATAACCATATTACTCCTCTTAATGTACCTTTCTCTAACGAAACTAACAGTAAAGTTACATTTTACTATGTTTTATAAACACTTACGGCTTGATATACTTAGTTATATTTTAAAGCTATAACTGTATACAAATGTAACCAGATATTTAAACGTGGGCTGTGTTATAGCGGAAGACGAAGACTCGTCCTATTATTTTTTTTTTTCATTCATGTAACCGCGCGAATGAATCGCCCTGTATGTCGGTGGGTCGTCGCCGGCATGTTTTTGATCTTACCGACTTTTGATAACATCGTGCGAGATCGTAAAATCTTTTAATAAGCACGATATGGGTAGGTATTTAAAATTTATATTAGATACATACATTAGGTATTCATTAAAATGAATGGATAAGATAAGTAGTTTTAATGATGTATTTCGGTGTAACGTAAATGACATGCGACTTAATACTTAAAATATATTAAAATTATTTACGTTACGTTAGGACAGAGTTCTTAGTAGAGAGTAAGTAACACAAACAAGTACTTAATAAAAAATCACATAATATACATATAAAATCAGTTCCTAAAATTGAAATAATATATATATATGTATATATGTCGGTGTGTGTCCACCGACATACATATATATAATAGATAATACTAACAGTATAAAACTAGATGGATAGCTGATTACGGAACACAATTTAATGATCAGCTGTTTTTAATGGAACTTATATGAAGATAAAGAATACAATGTGACATATAAGCATTTTTTCAATCCAATTCTTCAAGGGGATCCCAAGATTTTATGCTTATTTATCTACACTTTTTTCGAACAGCTGAGTGTTTCGTAAATGTTTCACTTCTTTTGTATAAAAGTTAAATTACAAATAAGTTCAGTTAAGAAGACGCAAGTACCGATTAAGTATGGGTTTAAAATTAAATAGTTAATAAAATTTAAGGTAATGAAAATATACTAATATTTTATCTTTAGCATTTCAGGAGATGACGTGATTTTTAAATGTAAACAACATGGTTTTTAGACAACACACTTAACAATCTATTTCAATACGTCCTTGACCGGTTTTTGTAATAATATGAAGTTTGCTACTCCTCTTAATTTACGTTGACCTGCATTTACTGTTTTTAAGTTACCTAAGTGTAGTATAACTTCGTGCCGCTAATTTAAGATCATAAGTTTTCTAAAGTCCGTTGCGTTTAGAACAACAAATGTTGAATGATAGATTCATGTTCGTCTGTCCGATTTAATGATAATTCTTAAACTTACTGCTAAATTTCTTGTATCCATTTCTAAACTTGTTGCGCCACCACTTGACAAAGTGGTGCGCCATGGGGGCGTCCGCGGCGGGTGCCGGAGCTCTCAACGTTTCGTAGCACGTCATGCGCTGCGCTCACGCACGCATCCCGTACACTTCAAAAGAGCCGCAATTTTATTATACCTATTTAGGCATTAACAATAATACTAACACACTTGCACAATAATGAATCACAACACGGGACGAAGTTAAGATTCGAAGTAAGCGTTAAACCTTTGACCTAGTTGTCCGCGTGAATATTGGGAGCCGAGAGAATTCGAGCGACCGTCCCTCGCGCGTGCTGTAGAGTGACTGACTGATGGATGAAGGGAGTAGAGTTGGGAGGGGCGGGTGAGGGCGCGGGATAGTGCGACGCGTTGTTTGTGGCGGCGGCAGGCGGCACTGGCGGCATCGCGGCACCGCGCACCGCTGCTGTCTCGCAGTCGCGAAACAAATATAACGTCCGCTATACAAATAAAAACCTATGCGTAACGACGAAGAGGACCACCTTGTATCTTAATGTAAAAAATGGGAAAACTGAAAATCAATCTACCTTCATATATATTTTCACTGTACCTATTAGGAGACAGGACATATATACTACCATCTATTAAACGATACTCATGTTAGCAAAATAAATTGGTAGTAAAGCATCAGTTACATGTGTCTTGAAGAAGGAAGAAAACGGCACAAGTACTCAAGTGGGTAGGTAACGATTACCTACTAATAATACTCTATTATTATCAAACCGTGTCGATTTCTTATCGCGATTTTCTTAAGCCTCTTCCTAACAGTAGGTACCTGGTCCAGATCAGGCTCTCTCCCCCAATAAACGCTATCTACCTACCTAAGCAGTGAGTAATACATAAACATTTTAGTGACCTACGTTGATACTTATCTAAGTGAAGTCAATTCATTAGATAGCTACCTGATATTTCTACCCACGCATCTATTCTATTTACATGGTCATAACATCGGTTTTGTGAAAAAAAAAAACAATAAAAACCAGATAATCCAGAAAATGTGATTAAAAGATCTTATCGTCTTCAAACATCTTATCTAAGTTATCTAAAATTGAAAAGTTCGTAGGTTGTTGTTGCCTTTTAATTGGAGCCTATAAAGTAAGTAAAGCAGAGGAATGGCTAAACTAACTATAAGTACCTAGTATTATTTTACTAAGACTATGATAGAGATGACGAAGTCAGTTCACTAATGAACCCAGATCTAAATATCAAAATTTCACTAAACATCACAGTTATCTGATAAATCCAATACTACGTGTATCGAACTAATACAAGTAATTTTATTTGAAAAGTGTCTAATATTTACGCATAAACAAAAAGCATTCTAATTTCTGATTTACAAATAATTAAAAAATAGGTATGCAGTCTCTTTCTTTAGTTTTAAAGAATGTCCTAGTCATTTAGAAAAATCTGTCTGTATAAATATTTCTTAGGTAGACTACAAAAGATTGTGTTAATTCTAACTTTGAGGCTCTTGTTGTGTTTCTTTTTTTTATATTTTGTACAAAAAATGATCCCATACTTAACGCTAACTTTTACTGGCAAAGAAAGTGAACCGTAGGTAAATACCTATAGGGCGGTAATAGAGAGAAAGGTGAACGGGCATCCGGCAACGGTTGGCATAGCCAGCCTCCATGCGGTCGATGACCCTGAGTAAGCGATTACAAAAAAGATTAAGTTAGGTAGATAGTAGGTAGGTACTCGTTTAGTGGTATGCTCAATTCGAACAACTCCATCGGACCACCTCTAAAATGATAGATGAGACGACTAAGCTTTGCCTAGCTCTTACCCATTAAACTTTATTAAAGCAAAATCATATTACGTACCTACACTGTTTATGTTGCACCTAGTTAGTGAGCAACTAATCTAGGGCTATGCTATTCAAAATCCTCTTTCTGAATATAATCCTAGATAACTCCTTTAATTGTTTGATGAGATGACTAATGTAGTTGGAATTTAATTTTATGATTTTGTCATTTCAAATAAGATATGCGATGCTACCATTTTGTGAAAGCTTTTCAAATTAATCATGTGTTTTTTTTTTAACAATATCGGCTCTGAATATGAAAGTGCCATTATACTGATCAGTATCTGTAACCCAGCAGAACAGAAGGCAAAAGCGAAAAGAATAGGATAGAGCCCGCATATCGTTTGCTAGTTTGCCAATTTCTTAGTAAAAATAATAATAATAATCCTAACAGTAGGTAAATACAATTGTTTCGTACTTGGTAATTAGTAAAGAACTTAATTTTAGTAGATAATTATTATTTTAATAACTTAAATAATACGAACCAATCTTGATGATTTCAATCTTTATATTATTCGTCTTCGGAGCTTAGTAAAGGATCTATTGTTCGTCTGCTTTTATATCTATTGACTTTTCCTGGAAGGTATAGTGCACGTTTTATATTGTCTGCAACAACACGATGGTTGCCCAATGTTTTCTATAAAATGTAGGGTGGAGAACGCGGGCGCCGCCTTGTGGGGTGCCATTCGGGGATGTGACACAGCCAGAACGTTTCAAATTAGAATTTTACGGCCTCTTCGTGTTAGGTTTATTGTCGAGAAGTTATTGTCGACCAAGATGAGGTCGTATTCCAAAACTGACTTACAACAAACAGTGTTTTATGTAAGTTTTATGTCTGTTATAAAGAAATCTTTACGAACACGTAAAATAGCCTTCTTGCGTTCATTAGATATTATTTGATGAAATTTTATTTAGGCATAAACCTACTTTGTAACACAAATTTTTGTTTGGTTCGTTGATTACAATATTGTTGTTGTTAACTAGTTTAGTATTATGTATGTTGTTAACTAATTAGTAAGTATCTACTCTACTACGTTTAGAAATAGAATACAGTGTTCTAATTCTATTTAAGGGTTTCTATAAAACATATCTATCCGATGACTTTACAATAAGATGACCATAGGTACTCAGCGGTCAGGAGGGTCTCGCAGGTTCTACGTGGGTGGCGCGTTCCACGAAATAGTGTTAATGGCAATGCTTTTCGATCTTCTATTCTATACCTCACGAACTTTAGCGTTAACATTAAATTTAATTCCATTATACATCAGATTTTATGAAAAATTATATTATTATAAACAACATCTACGTAGAATCAAACCGTCGCGGCGTCGGCGTCTTGGGTTCTTTCATGCATCTAATATAAGCCATTCTTTTATAATAAAATTAGTGTGAAAGTTGTTATCATCGAAAGCATCAGATCTTTGTATACGCATATAATAAAAAGATAATCATTCGAAGTGACCTGGAATGTTGATAGTGGCGTTATTTCTGCTATTCAGCTGGCTGGCACATCGCCAGATGTGGTCGCCGAGTTCTAACGCGTCACGTGGGCAATGCCCACTCACGTATTTTCATCAAACTCCAAATCTTAACCTCTTAAAAAAATGCCATAGGTATTCTTACAGTTTATTTATATCTACCGATTTCAATTTTGACTTAAGAAAGTTATTTTTTCTTCGTGTTTTAACTTTCCGCATTAAAACTTACAGTGTACCTATGTACATTTATTTATTTTCTTAAAACTACCTTTGAGTTACTTTATAATAAACTTAATTAATCGTGAATTAAGGAATATTAATAAAGAATAGGCAAAGAATAATTAAAATTATTAACAACAGTTCGCAAAAATTTTGTTGTTTGACAACTTAACTTGTCAGTTCAATTTAAATAAACACATAAAACAACGCTCGGAGAAACTTCGAAAAAATATGAAAAATAGATTTATTTAACTATGCGTCAGATAATGATAATTAATAAAAAGTATACATAAGACGTCAATCTGACGAAAATCTGATAAAATATCTACTAATTAGGTAGAAAGAACCATTAAAATTTAAAACTAAATAAATGAAAATGAGCAAGAGTCTCGGGCACAGCGCCGAAGGCAACAAAACAGTGCGCAGCCGTGCGCAGATGCAATTTGTAGTAGACACGGTACCCTCTGTCGGCTCGGTACTTCAAAGAAATAATAACATACGATTACGTATCTCCTTTTATCCCCTTGTACTTTACGGCGTGAACGCTTCTTTTTCTTTAACATTAAACTACAATAAAACCTGTTCTCTCTCGTGTATCGCATATCGGACGGACGGTTAAAAAGTGATCCCGAATTAATAGCTACAAAGTGTGATTATTAGATGGTACACGTTATAGATTATACACACGTGGTCTGAATAAAACATATGAACATTTAATAACAGGTTTCAATCAAAGATCTTTTTTTTAATGATGCAAAGAACTCTGAAGAAGTGCCGCTTCATCATCATCATTCTTAAAAATTACGACTATATCGAAAACAAAATTGGTAAAATTTAATTTTGGTTATAGTCAATTAAACACAGCATTTCGATTTGTTCTTTCGGTTGTTAAGTGTTGTAGTACGGGCCGTGGTACATCTACATATTATGTCTACTAGAAATAGCCCGGCGCATTGAGTTAAATTGAATTTCGACCTTTTGGAATGTCTTGTTTTATTCCATCGACCAGTATAACTCGATCTTTTATTTTATAATAAAAGATCGAGTTACTGTATCGAGTATACTGAACCCCAATAGTTTTATATACCTAGAAGTTTTACATACCTTGACATAATAACACATATTGCATTATTGTTTAAAAATGTTAGCTTTGTGCACTAACACATAAACATTAAATATTCTAAATAGAATGTATTTTTATGCGAAATATTTTTTTAAAAAGAGGTACTTAACATAATTTTCTTCAAGTATTAAAATACAGAATCTCTGGCAGAGCTATGCTTTTGTGAGAATGTCAGTCACCCCGCCAACTGTGACACTACAGCACGGGGTCGAGTGTTGTGAATTTGATTCCCACATACCGCAATTATTAGTGTGATTCACAAATAATTGTTTTCAGCCTGGATTTTGATTGAATCTGTTTATACGAAAGGTATATGTACCTATGTGTCTGTTCACTTGTATTTAATGTGTTTACATTATGGCGATTTGAAAATAAAAACATCATCATATTATTTTAATTTCTTAATATAATTATTGAACATTAAAGATAATAGAAAT